AGGCGATGAATTTTTTGATGATACAGCCGAAGGAACAAACATCGCAATCGAGGAAACCATTCCCCCACAGCTTAGGCATTCAGTGTGGCAGCGTCCGGAGAAGGAGAAAAGAGCCAGCCAAACCCGGAAAGGAAGTACCCACCACAAAAAAAAGGGCTGTTTACTGGAATATGGAGGAAAACCCCTAGAACAGCAAAGCGGGTAGCAGATCCCGCTTCAAAGACAATTATTGCTACCCGAAGTATCGTTACAAATGCAATCCTCCTTTATTATGCGTTTTTGCTAAATTGCAAAAACGCATACTGCAACGACCCTGTCTGTGTGTGCGTTTGTGTGTGTATGTGTATGTGTTCGTCTGTCCGGGTATCACTGCTATCCGAAGTACCGCTATAAATGCAACCCTCCCTTATGCATTTGTAGTCCAGCGAAGCAAAAGTTCTGCACCAAAACACTCGTCCAAAACGCTCCAAAATGCAGATTTGCAAGCAGCGGCTACAGAACATGCCACCTTTGCCTTGATAAGTAGAAAAGGGCAAAACCGCAGGGCCCGCGAGCAAGACTCATCCAACAATACGAGAAAAGAGTGCCGATTAGCATAATTAGTTGGAATCTCAGCACGTTCCCTAAGAAATGCAAGAAAAATTGTAACAGTATTTGAGATGATATGCACGGCGCAAGTGCCGGTTCGCTAATCATCGAGGGCATTGATAATCCGTGTTCGCGCTTTCTTCGAAACATGCGTTGCCACATTGAGCAGTGTAACTATCTGATTCGTTGTGTATTCCTGGAAAAAGCAATTCGAGAACAAACGATAACAAAAAAACAGGCTTGCGATCGTGATAAAATCCACTCAGTAACAAACAGAAGCAATCTTTTCAAGAGTTATTATTTTTTAACCTACCAAAACGGCGCAGCATTGTTCAAAGCAGCTATTTTGCTAACCCTACAGACAAGGGAACTAAGAGAAGCTTGCTGGAATCGGCCCTACTTCACGATATGCCAGGTATGTTGAAACTTTTATCATATATTTCATCACTGGGAGATTGGCTGCACCATCCGTGAAGTTAGAAATTTCATCGGCGAACTTCTCACTGCTTTTCCCATCCATATCTATTCCACATTTTTTTGTTCACATTTCAACTAAATTCCAATCACTATCGTCCAGCTTTTTCCTTCTTAGCTTCTCCAGTCCTACAGTTCTTCGCTTGATTACGTTTGAGCCTCTCTAATCTTTCTTACCCTCCAGTGCTATATTCCACTTCAAAATCATTTCCAAAGCGTACTCTTTATAACAGCATGATCAATCAGAAGTAGCGAAAAATGATAAATAACCTAGGGAGACTATCAGAGGCAGCACCTTTCTCACGTTCAACTTGAACTCGTTACAACTTCAAAATAATGAAATTTTTTTAAAAAAATTCGCAGTTCCCATTCACAGAGTAAACATCCCCCTTACACTGTGCTGCTGAATCCATGTTTCCATTGAGCTTTCAGGCAGATAATAGGCTTTGATGTAGTTCTCTACATATGCCCTGTGTGGAATAGGTGAAAATTCAACGATTTGCTCCAATTTGACAAGCAACTGCTGGAAATCGAGCTGCATCAAAGCGCGCCCCTCATTTGAGCATCTTTTACCACATTCACCATAGCTGCAAGAAAATCACATGAACAGATGAGGCTTGAGTTTGGCAATGTTACAGGACTAGGTTCGGAATTTGTTAAATTTTGAAATAAGCCATGAGACAACGCAAAAAAAGGATGTAAAATTTCGAAGCTACCAAAAAATGATGCAGTACACTTTTTAAACAAAAAAGAATCCTGAAACAAACAGTGACAATAGATTCGAGATCAGCACTAACTGCCACTGCACCACACACACCCACCAATGTGTTATTCACTAGTGGGTGTCAGAACACAGAAAAACACAAAAGTTTGTTGGAAA